CCCGCCTCAAAGCCAACGCTGATTGGACGTTCGTTTGGTGAACGGCTCCAAATTTTCTTTCACGGAAAGTAGCCAGACTGATCTGCGAGTGAAACCTTGAAAGCTCGCAAGATCAGGATGGTCTCACGAGGCTATCAACCTGTTGCTGTGAAGCAGGATTCTCCATCATGAACAGAATTAAAAATAATATATCGATCCAGGCTAAAAATGACCACATTGATATGAGCTCTATAAAAGCCTTGAAGGTCGGCCAAAAGCCCACTTCTCTTATTAAGGCATAAAAAAGAAAGAAAAAAAAATGTTCAGGTGTTTTTTAAAATATGTGAATCAGGAAATTGTCTATATACCAAACTGAAAGATTGTTGTTCTCTACTTAAAAAATACTTTAGATAAAATGGAACATTTTTCTTTAAAAAAAAAAAAAAGAGTATTTTTATTATTTAAAAAGTCAATGTATAACATGGATGCATAAACAACTTATTTTAATTCAGTGTTAAATTCTGTTTAAAGTCACAGATTATAATTAAAAATGTCTCTGGACCTTTACTGGTTGTTGATTTTCTTTATTCGGACCTCGCCGATTTTAAATTGGTTACCCCTGGTCTATGGTCTGTTCACTTTATTGAACCACACACAGGTAATGTGGATTAAACTGAGTGGAACTTCAGAAAAATAAAATAAATAATAAATAAAGTTTCTTTAACCCGATGCCTGCAGATTTCCTCATAGAAAAACACAGCACTAAGATCAGCATTTAAGCTTCATCCTTAACTTGATTTTATTATGAGAGGTAGGTCAAAACAAAACATAAACTGCGGATAGCTTGCCCTACCACAGCTCCGTTTGTAAATGTTAGCCCTCCACAGGGTTCAGATCTACAGATGCAAAATGCTGTCACCACTGTTGGATAAAATGTTTTTTTTAAAGAAATGACAAAAGTCTAATTAGTTACTGACTGTGGGCAAAGGAAGTGCGTAGATCCCTGTCAGAGTAAGCAAAAAGAGACAAGTGTTTCTATGGAAACAGCTTTTCTATGTTTGGAGCTATAGGCAAAAGTTGAGATGGGTAAAGGTTAGAGGAAAGAACTTTTACACAATAAGCAGAAAAAAGTAGCTAATTTAGGTGATATACTCCCACTGAAACTTTAGAGACAATAGTGAATGAATGATCCCTCTAGTTAGCCTCCTTTATGCAGTTCCTTTATGTTCATAGACTGTTCTCTTTGATACAAGCTGCCAGCTGAGTCTAATGTATTGTTCGCTAACCTCTTCCTTTGAGCAAAATGCTGATGTATAATTAGGCCCCAGCCTGAGGAGGCCTCTTTGGACCAGACTCATGCTTACATCCACATGCCGATTACATCAGAGTCTCCTCTGTGGGACACAAGGACACAGCAGTACACAACAAAGCAATACAAAGACGATTATAATAGAGGGAATAATTAATGATTAGCTTTCCAGATAGCACATTTGGGAACGTTACGTTTATGACGGCATGTATTCTACTGTCGCTGTGTGTGGCATTTTAGGATTGAGGGTCTTATGTAATAGCATCCTTCTTTGTTAGTGGAAAAAAAGGTCTTCACACTGAGCCTCAAACAAAGAAGAAGTGACTAAACACCCCGCTGAATTGCTCTAA